GGAGCAGCTGTCTATTTAAATTTATTTATTTTTATTTTTCATGATTTTATAGAGGAGGGTCTTGCTATGTTGCCCAGGTTGGTCTTGAACTCCTGGCCTCAAGTGACTCCCCCTGCCATAACCTCCCAAAGTGCTGGGATTATAGGTATGAGCATTTAAACAATTTGATTTTAAAATGTATCTTAAAAAATTCATGGGCCTGTGTGAGATGTAGTGACAGGTCCATGAGGATTTAGAATAATGGGTTGAGAAGAGGCATTTTCTGCTGTCCAGTTAGCACATGTGAAGATTCTTCATAGTATCCAGACTCCATCTGTCCCTATTGAGGAACTGGAACTATCTCTTTTTGTTCTTTGTCACATGTGCTACTTTTGTATCTCCCACTGTGGGAAAAAAGATAGCAATGCTATTATTGCTCACAATGCCATGGTTCTTTGGAACCTGTTTGTATCGAAACAATAGAGGTCTTGTTTCTGCAGCTCTCTCGTACCATTTATTTAAAGCTGGCTGCATCATTTCTCTTGATGCTACACCAGCCACAGTGCCACTGCTGAATGCTGGCTTCAGGTGACCCTCTTAGAGGTGGGCGCTGTGCTTTGTAGATGATGGCCACAAGTGCAAGTCTTACCAAGAATATGTGGGAGCATGTCAATAATTCGTCTTATGATAAATTTCTGTTAAATTTACCACTAGCAATTTTATAGTGTAAATGTAGAGGAACACATCTTCGAAGTATGTCTTGAATTCTTCAGGCCATAAGCAGTGAATGTGACCTCCTGTTTGGATGGCAACTGTCCTCCTGCCTCCCACACACCTCCATCCGTAGAGGGCCCTGGGCGAAGCTAGAGAGAGGCCTCATCCATACCATGAGGGAAGGAGAATGTCCAACTGTCACCTTGCACAGCCTAATGCCAACCTGGAAACCACAGCAGCACCACATCCATGAGAGGCTGGAGATATTGACTGGTGGTGTGGGTTGGCACTGAAGCCCCCAGAGGATGAGACACAGCCAACTCCAGAGGCTGGACCAACACATTCAGTGGAGCCTGTGGGTGAAGAACACCTGTTGCCAGTCCTGTGAGTGCTGCAGACCACAGGTGGTGCTGCAGTCAGAACCCCCACAGGTGAGAGTCCACACGGTGGCCCACATATGCTGCTCAAGACAAGGGCCAGCAGTGGACCTTTGGTGGCCAGAGCCCTGAACTTGTCCTGTGTCTGAGGCGAGTCACTCAAACTCAAGGTGTCATTACCGTACTGGGCAGCCCAGTCTCACCAGATCTTGGGACAGAAACACCATACCTGCCAGCGGGAGCCATCCTGTCCCCAGGGCCCCCTCCTGGAATCAGGGCCAACATAAATCCCGGGGCTTCTTGGGGCACTTGGAGGTGAGGTGGAGGTGGAGGTGAGAGATCTAGGAAGGGGATGTAGAGGGTCACTAAGCACCCAGAAGGTCCCATGCTGAATTGGGTGACATGCTGACCAGTCCAGCTGGGGTGCCCCTCCCAGATGGCACAGCTGACCCTGGCCAGTCCCAGCCACTGAAAGAGGACTTAGAAAATTTTGAGGGAAATGCCTCTGGCCACCAGATTTGGGGCACCCTGCCTGAACAGCCATGCAAAGGGCTCAGGACCCAGGGTGGGACTGCCGGCTTGGGTCTGCAGGCCAGACTGATGTCACATGCCTATGTTCTTGAGAGTGGTCCAGGCTGCAGACATAAACCTGGGAGTCATCAAGCTGCCGAGAATGGCTTTATAGAAGGAAAAAATTCTGAGGCTTTTAGTTCCCAAACTCTACTACTTATTCTCAAAATGTGAGAAGCCGGTTCTCTCCCTTCCTAGGTACATGAAGGACTCTAAACCAAGAGCTACCCACTTGACGATTTTTAGAACTTCTACAGCTTAAGCAAACCTATAAAGAACTCTGAGTCCTGAAAATAGAAACAGTTCATAACATGAAAATCCACAGACTCAAATCTCCTTAGCAAACAGTACCTGTGGGGATGAATGACATTTTCATTTTTCAGTACAAGGCTGATTCTAGGCTAATAACATTCTCCCTGCCCTCCAAACAGTGGTATTTGTTTTAGTCCACTGTCTGTTTAGCCAGGGGAATAATTAATGAACAATTAAGTCTGCTGGCAACACACTGCCAAGTGGCACTCAGCAAATATTTATTGACAATGATGAGGCTATTATTTATACCATCAAATTGGAAACAAAATTGTGGAGTTTTTCAGCAAAGCATTGGAGATTTGTCATCCTACACATGAGTAAACTAGAAAAGCGAGGTGATTTACCCTGTTTCACAGGGAGGTGGGGCAAAGCTAGGACTTGTGCCCCAAACTCTTGATTCTAAATGCATTTCTTGCTTTTTCTACTATGTTGCACTAGTGCTTTTGAGAAATGGCTGAATTCCATTAAGCGACTTCAGGTGTTTGATACTTTAGCCTTTCCAAAACACAGTAAAATCTCATTAAGTCCAAATGATTGAAAGAGTGGCCAGGCTGAACTGAGGAAAAGTTTGAACTATTTAAAAAGATATTCAACTTTTTCCTTTCAAGGCCATGCAATAAATTGGTACAAATAACCACAGAATGGGGCTAAGTAGAGGTCTTACTGAATCTGCTTAAAGGAACAATCAGGAATAATTATAAATTTGTTTTTAAGTGATGACTGCTATAGATATTTTAAGCATTTGGGGAAATATATTTTCATTAAAAGTAAGCTATTTTCTCTTAAACTGATTTAATGTAAAAGTTCATATAGGAAACTTTCACAGATTTAAATGCAAACATCAAACCACAAGTTAAAACGATCATGCTCTTCATTTGATGGCATAGAAATGAACTTGCTTTTATGCCAGTGGAGGGATTTGGGAAAACTCTACTGGCTTGGGATGATTTCTGTAACTCACAGCGGCACTGATGATGACATCTGTCTCTCTCACTTTGCATCCTTTCTCTATCCAATGCCAATAGAATGCCTCCAGCTGCTCGCAAACCGAAAGCATTTTCTGGCCATTCCTTCCCTTTACCACACTCCCACCAATTTCGCCAAATGATCCCACACCTCCTGTCACTGTGAGAAGTCTCTGCACTTACCTGCCTTCAGTTGTTTTCTATCTGGACACTAAACAGTGGTTCCTGAAGATGTTTAGAAATATTGGCCCTTGTTATCTCCGATTATGTTGTTTAACACCCCATCGGGCATACTACCCCTGAAGCAGTACCTCTGGCCTCTCTGTTTTTCTCTCTTGGATTTGACATCTTCCTCCTTTCTTGTCTGAGTCAGGGTTGTTGACCTGACAGGTAACACGTGGGAGGTTCCTACTGGCTGAGCGGATGGTATTGCCAAATAGCGGAGGCTATTTGGGGACATAGTCTGTGATGTCCTCCAGCCCATCAGTGAGCTCAAGGCTGGGGGAAAAGGTCTCTGGGGAAGATGGGGATCTGGTTGGAGACACATAAGGCTTTCCTTGCTGGGCAGGTTGTCCTGGATGGGATTCAAGGATCCGTATGTCTTAGGGAAAAAAACTGACCAAAACAAAAAAGAGGGCTACAGATATTTTTGCCATTTAATGTTACTGCCTATCCTGATGATACAAGTTCAAACAAAGTAAGGGTACAAGGGTACGCTCGCCTTCCCTGCTGGTGCCCTGCTGCCCCCTCTGGAGAAGTTGGGAACTGAAGCTTTTGGTCGGTCCTCGTCCAGTTCTTGTCTCTATAATGGGTCTGCATTGGCTTGGACATCTTACCCAGAGGTGCTTGGCTACAGTGCCAAGAAGTGTCAGCCATACACCGCAGCTTATTCAGAGAGTTTATGTGGACTCCGAGTAACACCAATCTCTTTATTTTATTTTCTGGCCGGAGGATGACTCCATAGTTTTGTGAACCATCTGTTCTGGTTCCCCCCTCCTTCTACCAAGAGGCTAAGCTAAAGCCATCTTTCTTGGCAGCCTTGGACTAGCAAGAAGTGCTTCCTGACTGGTGTCCTGCCTTAGTAATCTTATCCTTAAAAGGGAGAGTCTGGACGTTTGATCTCCTAAGGGCCCTCTGGCTTGGAGTCTTTGAAAAATCTTTACCACAGGCTTTGTGTGTGTGAGCGAGCGAGTGGAAAAAATAAAATAATAAAAAATCTTTACCAGTGAGAAATGTCTATTTAATATAAACAAACTCTTATGTATTAAATGAGCTTTGCCTTTTAATGAACAAGATTTCTGGAAGTAAAATGAATGTGCTTGGAGGAGGGGCTAAATTAAAAAAAAATTTCAAAATATGAAATATACCACTAGAAGGCAGTGTTGACTATAGTTTAATTGAGAATTTCTTCAGTATAGCTCCTTTTGAGGGAAATACTTTTATTTTCTTATTTTTAATTTTTAGTTTTGAAATTAATTAATTATTTTCTGGGGAGACAGGGTCTCACGCTGTCACCCGGGCTAGAGTGCGGTGGTTTCATCATAGCTTACGGCAAACTCAAACTCCTGGGCTCAAGCGATCCTTCTGCCTCAGCCTCCTGAGTAGCTGGGACTACAGGTGTGTGCCACCATGCCCAGCTTTGAGGGAAATATTTTTCAAATCAATGAATATTAGAATGATTAAAGGTTACAATATTTTGGTGGCAATAAAATTCTGAAAAAGAATATTAAAGGGACATGCAGTTTGCTGAGTAATAGAACAGCAAGTCCAGTAAAGTTTCTATCATGTATGAGTGAAAGTTTTAAATATTGAACTTGATTTGAGAATATAAGAGAAATGGTAGATGGCAACTTTGCAGAAAAAACAAGTGGAGTTAGTTCACTCTTATTTCACCTCAGCCATATTCTTCTGAAAGTTGTTCTGGAAATTTCTTTTCCCTTTAAATGCTGACATCTGCTCCTTTAAAATTCTAGCATACTTATGAAGTAGACTATTATTTTGGTAGATAGAGAAATTGAGGTATAAGACTTCATACAAGACTTAGCAAATTGTAGAACTAAAATAACAATCAAATTCAACCAAAATGGTCTCATTGCTCTTCTTTTTTAATAGCTGGAAAAAAATTACAATTTAAAAATAGCTCAACCAATCCAAGAATGTTTAGAAAGCAGCTTGAACTTTTTCCTAATATCTTGAGGGTAGCCATGCTTATTCTAAAAGTCTTGCATCTCTAGGCTTGAGCTCTCGTAGGATAGCAAATATTAAACTAGCAGGTAAAAATATCATAGTTCTCAATCATGGAAACTGGGCTAGAGTTTGGAGAATCTACCTTTTTCTTATTATACTTTTTTATTTTTTTTTTTTAGCTACAAAGTAACACAAGTTCACCCTCCTCAGGCTTATGGACTAGAGGCATTAGGTGGATCCAGTTTTGACCAGGATGGAGAGGGCCAATCTCTTCTTCTTCCCTATTGCTCTATGTTTCTCAGGGGTAGAAATGGGTCAGGACATAGAAGAACTCTGAGAGCAGGACTCTGGGCTTTGGACACTTATTGATCAGGTCCCATATGACTAATCTTCTTATAAGAATAAACTTAAGTAGGATGGTCCCCATATCTGAAGTGTCCCATAGCAATGTTTTTCAAACTGTGGGGCAAAGCCCATTAATGGATCATAAAACTCAATTTAAAGGGTCTCAACCAGCATGTTTTATTAAAGAAATAGGATGGAAAGGAATAGAACAGAAAATACCAGAATGGATCACACTTAATTTCAATGTTTATATGCTATATGTTTTCCTGTGTCATTACATAAATTGTGTTTCTTACTAACGGTCATGTTCAAAAGAGCTTGGAGGCCACTTTCCATAGCACTTTATCTGCCCCTGGCTGGTTGCCGAGTCATTTATGACAGTTCTTTTCCTATCCTCCTTGCTAGCCTATCAACTTCTTGAAGTGGAATTAATGTCTGAATTACTTTTCCTTTGCTGCAGTGGTTTCCATAATGCCTTATACATAGTTGGTACTTAGTAAACCTGTTTAAGATTTACTTGGTACTTATTTTGCTTCTAAGTAAATTTCTAAAACATACTGTTAAAGTTGTCAAGTGCTATTTGTAAGTCTATTTCCTTCAGCTAATACCGATTATCTGTGTAGGCTGGCATTAATATAAGCACTGCTTTTTAACTATTTTTTCCTGATTCGTATAGGAATTGTGGGGCCCAAATACCAAGGTATTCACCAAAAATAGGTTCCACTGAGGCTACTCTGAAGATCTAATTTTTTGTTTTTCAAAGAGCTCTTTCAGCTGCTGCTCAGTTGTGGCTTCTTTCTGCTGCATCAGCTCGGCTGTTCCTTTGGTCACACCCCAGCCATCGGGCTTTGACACTGAAGGGTTGTATGGCCTGCCTGAGGCTATCCGAAGATTCTCCCAGTATTCTTTCCTGGCCCTGCGTGAACAAGACACACAACATCAGACTCCTCTCCTAGTGTCTGTCTTTGTGTCATGGAGCCATCTTTGCCCTCTAAGAGGATGTCCATTAAAACACACTTATTAGTCTGGACTAAAACTCCCCACCCCCAGAACATGTAGATCGAAAATTACTTTGAATTTCTTCTTTTATTATATGTATTGGGATAATTTAGAATAGGGATACTTTCTATCCCATGTACGCTACCTCTCCATTTTCCCCTAGCTGAGTCCACCTTTGTTGATCTTCCCGAAACCCTAGGTTGCTTCTGCACCTCTGACCCTGCAGACTGTGCCTTCTAGTTGGAACCTAACCATGCCTGGCATCCGTCCTGGTAAGGCTTCCTCACGAGGCTATTACACCTCGCTAACTTGCAAATCTAACTTCCCTGGGCTGCTTGAGACCCTCCAGCCTCCTCGCTGCCTTTGGGATGAGCTCATACATAGCTCCTGAGCATGAAAAAAAGGCCTCCTCCTCCTGGAATGTGTCTTCCATCAATTTCTGTCTCTGGTACCCTCAAACTTCCAGTTTCGCAATATATCATTCTCTTTCCACTTCTCAGTGCCTTCCAGCAGGCTGTTCCTTTGTCTGGCAACTTAATTTCTCTTTCAAATTTCAGCTCAGGTGTCAGCTTTCTTAGAAATCCTTCACTAACCCACCTCTGCCCTTGCCCCATGTGGGCCGTCAGCTCAGACCCCACACACCGGTGCATATCTTCATCCTTGAACTTACTGTACTCATTGGACCTTACCTGTTTATCTCTCTGCCTACTAGATTGCTAGCTCCTTGGGCTGTACCTTGTTCAGCTTGCTACCTCAGGATCCGCAACAGCGTGTGATAGATAGTTATGCTCGGTTTATGTCTGTTGAACAGAGCAGAACTGCTCCCTCTGCTCGGAGCACCCATCCTCCCTCCCCTGCTTTCTCTACCTGGTGGAGGCCTACTAGCCTTCAAAACCCAGCCCCCAGACTCTTCTTCTAAAGTATCTTTCTCTTAGGCATCAACAGTCATTCTCTTCTCTTGTTACTTTTCTATTTATGTCTCTCCTAAAGCAGCTACCGCAGTATAACACATTGACTTTCTTTCTTTTTTTTTTCCTTTTTTTAAATTTTATTTCTGCACATTATGGGGGTACGAATGTTTAGGTTATGTTGCCCTTGTCCCCCCGCCCCCCACATTGGCTTTCTTATCCATTTTCCCCAGTACTCTATGAGTCTATAGACTCATAGAGTCTATAAATTTTATGTCAGTGCCCTGCCCAGTGCCTGACATAAAATTTGTTTATTATTAATTTCCCCCACCCCCCAGAATATAAGCTCTCAGGGCAAAGACCTTGCTTATCTTATTTACCATTGTGTTCCCAGAAAATCATGCTTGACACAGAACAGACACTTTAATTAGTATTTGTTATGCTTAAATTATACTGAACCCTTAAAAATCAATGCAATTCGATGTTAGTATCCACCACATGAATGATGCTTTACCAGAGCATCAAATCACCCTTAACTGCCACGTACATTATTTACAGTCTGTATGCTTAAAGCTTTCTCCAAAATAACCCCATAAGGATGTTTTATAAACATCTCTGAGAGAATTTAAGGAAGATGACTGATTCTTCATCATCACACAACAAATTAGTTATAGTCTTCACAAATTAGTTATATTCTTTTTAATGGCCTCACTTGGACATATTCATAATCTAATTGAGTTTGGGTTAGTAAATGTAGCTTAAAGATCCTTACCTTGCTCTAATCCAGGGTTTTGTGTGCATGTCCAAACCACTGCCCCAGCTGCCATGTTTTTCTGAAGCTGGTGGCAAAAATCCCCTTTCTGGGGCCAGCTCCTCTGCGATTGCCCTGATGTGGTAGGGCTCGAATCCACAGCACCCGCCAATGTACCTGACCCCCAGGTTGTAAGCCTCTCTGGCATATTTATGTATATCCCATCTGGTGGCAACTCTGGGTTCCAGTCCTGTAATAAATGGCATTATGCATTATGCATTATGAATTCTTTTTATAAAAAAATTCAAGATAAATAGCTATAGGTACATAATTTTCAATGAATGAATTATATAAGTTGCCAATATTCAATTCTTAAACTTTTGAAACTACTAGCTACCTTGTATTTATATATCCAGTTTTACATGTTATGGTATCTGACCTTTAAGATGGTTCCCAATGATCCCTGCTTCTGATGCTCTCACCCTGTGCAGTCCCCTTCTGCATTATAACAGGGTAGCCTCTGAGATCAATAGACGATGGCAGAAGGAATGGCATGTGACTCCAGAGGAAAGACTATAAAAAAAATTATAACCTGCTTTGCTCTTTCTTGGAACACTCCCCCTGGGGGAAGCCAGCTGCCATGTTGTAAGAACACTCCAGCATCACAATGGGAAGGCCCGTGAGCTGAGTTAATGAGGCCTCCAGTCAACAGCAGCAAGAACCGGCGGACACCAATGGCCAACAGCCACCTGTTAATAAGTGAGCTTGGAAGCAGATCCCCCTGCTCCCATCAGGCCTTCAGATGACTACAGCCCCGGCCAATATCTGGACTGCAAGCTCTTAAGACACCCTGAACCAAACTACTCAATGAAGCTGTTCTTGAATTCTTGACCCACAGAAACTGTGAGATAATAAACTTTTGTTTTTTTTTTTAAGCCACTAAGTTTTGCAGTAATATGTTGCAATAAATAACACAAATGCCTTGCCACTCTTCCTCCATGGTTCTCCCAGAGTGATTATATGTTACAATATCTTACTTATCGCAGGGTGTCCGTAGAATATAGGATATGGTACAAGGATCCTAGAACAGAATAGGAGGGCAGCCGTGCTCTGCCCTGCTGACCACCCTGGTTCAATTTTCGAGGTGGACTCACCCCCACTTCCCAAACATGCTGAGTAGCTTTATCCCCCTGCCTAGCCTGCAGGTATTACCTCACTTCATCTGCTTCGTCCCTGCGTTAAAGTTTGTTAAACAGCCACCCAATGATGCTAATTTGTTCTCACCCCTCAAACTCTGGAGTATCCGAGTAACATTCAAAATTGGAGAACAGGACCTTGGAGGTGACTGGTCTACCCTTCTTATTTTTCCAATGAGAAAGCCGAGATCTAGAGGAGCTCACGGATTTTCCTAACTCAGCAGTGAAGCTGGAACCAGAACCAAATCCCTGCTGGAAGGCATCGTTTTCAACATCCAAAAAGTAGGACCCATGGGTTGTCTATTTAGATGCTGATTCCCCTCTGGTTTTACATTTAAGTTCACAGGTGTTTTTTGCTAGGTGTTCTCATATTTTCCTTCTGCTACTGTCGAGTATCAAGGGGTTTTGGCTGCAGGGACAGAAACTAAGGGCAAGAGATGAAATATGCAGCCATCTCTTTACTATGACAAAACTCTGGCTGTAGATTTATTTGGAATTTATCAAAGATATCGAGACTACTTATAAAAGGTCTGTCTTACCAAAGGGGAATTCAGGCAGATCGATGAATCCCTGTTTGTTGCAGTCGGGAGTGTGGTAGGCCAAGGGCTGGCTCATCAGGTGAGCTTTCAGTCCGGCAGCCTCCAAGCCTTCTTTCATGAGCTTCACCGTCTGCAAACTAATCGTGGGGTCAAAATGGCAGTTCACGCCCACGATGGAGGCTCCTGCAAGCGGTAAGAACACGTTAGCTTTAGGGATGCACCAGCTACCAGCAGGCTCAACTCTCCTCCCTTCATCAGGCAGCTTTTATTAGGAATGATGAATTGCAAGTACAGAACTGGGTCCTTACTCTCCCCAAACTATCTTGCCTTTGAGCAAGAATGATTATCACCAGGCAGGAAGTGCTTTCTGTAAAAAGTGCTTCGAAGAGTCTGGTATAATTGAAGTGTCATTTATGAACACTTGGCTGTCCATCTTTTCTCAAAAAAAAATCATTATTAGAGGTTTTTTACTTCAAATGTTAGTAGTCAATTTTTCAATGTTTGACACTTTGTTGCAAGCACAGTGATTTTTCAACACTCCCAGCTGCTAGATTGCACCTGTGTTTACCATACTGCCTACTTGAGGTATAAATAAATGTTCCTTTCACCAGGCCGGTTTAATAATTTCACTATCCTTTTTCAGAAATGGGTTTTTTCCAAAGAAATTTTGGGTCTAGACTTAATAGTTTGGGAAAAAAAATCTCAAAAGCCTTTAATTTCAGCTACTCAATGTGGTTAACAGCCTATCAATCATTTTATTAATAACAAGTGTTTCATTTACATTTTAGCCTCCCGAGACTCACAACTATATGGGATTGTCTTCCTGAAGCTTTCTTGTATAATTTGTTGCTGCAAAGTTTGATTTAGTGAGAACAAAATATATTTTAGAAACCTCATTTTAAAAAAAATTATAGAGACGGAGACTTGCTATGTTGCCAGGCTGGAGTGCAGTGGTGTGATCATAGCTCACTGCAGCCTCGAACTCCTGGCCTCAAGTGATCCTCTCACCTTGGCCTCCAGCATCCTGGGATTGACAGACATGAGCCACTGCACGTGGCCAAAACCTCATTTTTTTCCAAAAGCTTTCTTAATATTCATTATGTTCTCAATTGTATCTGGACCAAAGATGATTTATCATGGCAATCGTTAGACAAGACTCTGGAAATTTCATCCTCCAGAAGATTTGAGGAGGCAATATGACATTATAATTCTTTTACTCCATGCTTTCAAAATGGGAAGAATTCTCAAGTAGGCCTTTTATTCTTTTCTTTTTTTTTATTTTAAAAATTGTAGTAAAATATATATCACATAAAATTGGCCATTTTAACCATTTTGGGTGGCATTAATTGCATTCGCAATGTTGTGTAACCATAACCACTATTTTTATCAAAATTTTTCATCACCCCAAAGAGAAACTCTGTACCCGTTAAACAATAACTCCCTATTCCCCCTCCCCCTAGCTCCAGGTAACCTCTAATCTAATCCTGCAGTCCCCAACCCTTGGGCCATGGCCTGTTAGGGACTGGGCCACAGAACTCCACCACCCCTCCCAGCACCTCCTACCTCCATCCTAGGGGGAGACACACAGCAGGAGGTGAGCAGCGGGTGAGTGAGTGGAGCATCATCTATACAGCCACTCCGCATTGCTTACATCACCGCCTGAGCTCCGCCTCCCCCACAGTCCCTGTCCCATGGAAAAACTGTCTTCCATGAAACCGGTCCCTCCTGCTGCCAAAAAGGTTGAGGACTGCTGCTCTAATCTACTTTCTGTCTCTGTGGATTTGCCCATTCTATTAATCGATATTTCATATAAGTGAAATCATATATTTGTCCTTTTGTGACTGGCTTATTTCACTTAGCATGATGTTTCCAAGGTCCATCCCTATTGTGGCATGTTTGATAACTTCATTGATTTTTATGGCTGAATAATATTCCATTGTATGGAGATGCTGCATTTTGTTTATCCATTTATCTATTGACAGACTCTTGGGTTGTTTCCACCTCCAAGAAGGACTTTTTTGATGGACTCATGGCCTACGATTTTGTATCTTGAACATAGAGATAGCAAGAACAAGGGCAGGAGAGATTCTTTCTGGATGCAATGAGAGTGACCCCAACATTCAGCTTGCAGGAGCGGCAGAGCTGATGCCACAACCCGTGGCATCCGGCATTGAGTGGCAGGTGTCTCAGCAGTCCTCACTAGGCTGTGTCTGCACTTTGTTCTCCATTCTTCTTCCACGTAGGGCTCATTCCCTGTCATTCGTCTGAAACAGCTTTTGTTAAAGTTGCCGATGACTCAATCTTGCCACATCCAGCAGCTGCTTCTCTGTCCTCATCTTACTTCATGTCTCAGCAGCTCTTAACCTAGTGGGCCACTTGCCACTTCCTCGCTCATGGACACTCCCCTTCTTTTGGCTTCTGAGACCTTCCACACGCTCTCCTAGTGTTGTTCCTCCCTCCCTGGCTGCAGTTTTTTTAAATGTTCTGTGCTGGCTCCCCCTGAAGACTACAACTCTCAACTGGAGTGTCCCAGGATACCACTAAGTCATCTCCATTTACACTTCCTTTTCAGTCCCAGGGCTTTCAATACTATCTACATCTGGATCTCTCCCAACAGTTCTCTCTCCAATCCTGGTCTTCCCATTGGGTTCCACACTTGCATATTCAACAGCTTACTTAATATCCTCACTTAGATCTTGAGTATCTTTGTTGTTGTTTTAAATGTTGTGCTACCAGAGTTTCTCTTTCCTTGCTTAACTTATTACACTAATGAATTAATCAACCACTGGCTGTTTATTGGATGTCTGTTAGGTGTAAGTCTCCTTGCAAGGAGTTACACAGAAATATAAATATAGGACATAGTCCCTGACATCAAGGATTTTATAATTTAGCACAGGGTTTCCTAAGGTTTGGTCTATGAAAATAGGGTTCTATGGTCAATTAAGTTAGGAAATAGCTATTTACTACAACCTCTTCTTGGAGACTGACAATATATATGGACATATCAAAGATTCTGATAAGTTTCACAGTAAAGATACCTGCTTCACTTGGTTTAACCCTGCATTTTCTAAATGTATTTGACCATAAGAACCCTATTAACATTCTCAAAGATTGGCAAATGTAGACTAGGATATTCTAAATGAGTGGTATAAATAGTGAGTGTTGTAGTTGCTGAGATAAGGAGGTGATCACTTGGGGTAGGGATGATAATGCAAGGATACATGGAGGTAGAATTTGAACTAAACGTTGGAAAATGGACTAGGTTTATTAGACAGACATTTATTTATTTATTTTGAGACAGGGTCTTGCTCTGTCTACTGGGCTGGAGTGCAGTGGTGTCATCATAGCTCACTGCAACCTCAAACTCCTGGGCTCAAGCGATGCTCCTTCCTCAGCCTCCCAAGTAGCTGGGACTACAGGCATGTGTCACCATGCCCAGCTTTCTATTTTTTTGGTTTGTTTGTTTGTTTTTTGTGACTGGGTCTCACTCTTGCTCAGGCTGGTCTTATATTCCTGGCCTCAAGCGATCCTCCCACCTCAGCCTTCTAAAGTGCTAGGATTACAGGCATGAGCCACCACACCCGGCCGACAGATATTGATTAAGGATCCATAATGTGCTAGGCACAGGTACTCAGTATGCAACCAAACATAGGCTCTGCCTTATGGATCTTATAATCTAGTGAGGAAGTCATACATTAAACAGATAAATGAGATAAGTGAGAAGTGCTATGAAGGGTATAAACATGGTACAGCAATATCATACTGTGGTCACCTATGCTGAACAGAATGAGGGAAGGTGTAGACACAGGCCAAGCATCCGTGCCAGTTAACAATGGGGATGACGAAGGCCTCCTCTGATCGTTTTGAAAAATGTTAACTTGCCTCTCCCTCCATTTTTATATTTTCCATCAAAAATTAGGATTATTGGCTGGGCGCAGTGGCTCACGCCTGTAATCCTAGCACTCTGAGAGGCCGAGGCAGGTGGATTGTTTGAGCTCAGGAGTTCGAGACCAGCCTGAGCAAGAGTGAGACCCAGTCTCTACTAAAAATAGAAAGAAATTAATCAACTAAAAATATATATAGAAAAAATTAGCCGGGCATGGTTGTGCATGCCTATAGTCCCAGCTGCTCGGGAGGCTGAGGCAGAAGGATTGCTTGAGCCCAGGAGTGTGAGGTTGCTGTGAGCTAGGCTGACACCACGGCACTCATTCTAGCCCGGGCAAAACAGTGAGACTCTGCCTCAAAAAAAAAAAAAAAAAAAAATGAGGCAGTTTTGAAAAAAGTCTGTTAGTTTCTCCTAATTGAAATGAGATCTGATATTAGGAATGGAAATTATATAAAAATATATATTGGGTCGGTATTTTATATTAAATGATTTTCTGATTTATTACACCAATTACAAAAAAGCAAAGCATACTAGTAATTTACGAGAATGAAAAGCTTTGATTGACAAAGAGGGCAACTAACTTTGAAGTTATTTACGTTTAAAGACCTCATTTCTAGGTTTTAAGCTTCCAGCATAGGTCTAGTTACTCCTTTGTAAAGGCTGGGGTGTGTGTGTGTGTGTATTGTGTAGGTGTGTATGTGTGTCTTTGTATTTTTAAAGCTTTTTTCCTTTGAGACTCAATAATGGTGTTAATATTACTAAAAAAGTAAATTAATGATTTTCTTGTTAACAAAATAGTCTATGCTGATTCATGGATGGATGTGCATTGGTATGTTACTTTAAGACCCACTAATTGCAAACTGACCAACATCTCTCATCACCTGCTTTCACCAGGCGCACTGCACACTCCCCAGGGGGCACTCCATGCAGATCTCCTTCTGGGCCAATGCACATGGTCGCTGCCACTGGTTTCCCAGATACTTTCAAAGCTTCAACTGCCCACACAGCTTCTTCAACATGTTCAAAATACTGAAATAAGTTAAAATGAGGGTACGTTTAACCTTGTTTCTCCCAGAACAATTTGAAAATTTATCCTATTGCTTAATAACTTAATTATCACTAGATAAGTGTTTTTCAAACCTGGAGGTGTGGGCCGTTGGCATTTTTTAAACAGAATAGAGTAGAATGGAGATGTCTTAACGTGAATTGCAGTCAGAAAGCTTGGAAAACACTATATTTGATTAACTGAGTCAAGTTTAGCAGAAGCCCTAAATTGGAAAAAGATTTCAAAAACTAAATGTTACTTATTGTTATGCTAGTTATGATTGGCACCTAATCCCACACAGTCCTTGCAAAAGCAAAGGTAGAGAAAATGTACTCAGTGTATTCGTCTTATCTTTGATTGTGTCTTTGTTTACCTCTGCGATCAAGAAGTCCACATTCTTCTTCATAAAGACGTCTAACTGTTGCTGAAATATCTTTTTAACTTCGGTTTCACTCTTGCAGCTGAGGTACGAGGGTGTCTGACTCACACCTCCTGCTACCAAAGCATCTCCCTCATCAGCCACTTGCCGGGCAATGTCACAAGCAGCTTCATTGACTTTCTGTCCCTAAAATGGGTGAATACATGATATGTCAAACTTTTCCTGTGAAATCGAAATAAAATTATTATTCAAACATCTACATCTCAGTTGTGTGTTTACAGTAGTGATTTTATTCCAGAAAATGACAGTTATGGAATAGTTCAATGCTTTACCAAGTTGAGCAGTTTGCAATAACAACACTAATAATAGTGATAATAACAATAAATCTAATGGTAGTATTTAGAACATTATATTATTCCAAAGATGTGTAAGATGGTAAAAGTTTTTATATGAAAGGATGGGATCAGGCATCTTCCAAAGCCTAAACTGCATTTAGAAGAATAACTACCAAATAGTGGTAGTGATGATTTGCTTTTATGATTGGTGGATAAAAATTCAATTTAAATACAGAATGCTTGACTTTTTTTGTCATGCATTTTCTCAACTAACAGATAAATGCATAACTAGTAAGTCCTTTTCTAATTATTTAGATATTAAAAGTTGATTGTTATCCTTGAAAAAAAAATCCTCCCCCCAAAAAACCTAGCACTGTAGACTCATGGAATTTTAGAACTTTCTTTTCATTTTAGAGATGAAGAAATATCAGCCCTGATGGGGTTAGTGGTTTGCCCAACATCACAAAGTAGATCATGGCTGAGTCAGGCACTATTCCAGGTTTATTGACTCTTTGTGCCTATAATCTTTTCCCTGAAGTTATGCCACATTAAAAAAATATAAGGATGTAAGAATTTGTAAGGATGCTCACTTTACTCAGCAACTTAGTCAAGAGACGAGGAGAACAATTAATTATTAAATACCTCTTCTTTAATGTGCTTCATTAAATGCCTTTCTGTTAATTTGGGAGACTCCAGCTAAAACCGAAGGCTGTTATTCATGTCTCTCTGTTTTATATTACTAGAAATAAAATGAAACTCTAAAGAGGCTCAACATTTTTTTCTAGGAGAGCTTTGGTGATGACATGTGTGTCTACGATGACCTTCTAAGAGTTCCACGGATAGTTTTACTCACAGATATCTTCTCTAAAACATAGTTGCCCCTGTTCTCCAGCTTGTCTTCACTTGCATAGAAGGTGAAAGTCTGCATGACGTTCGATCCAGCTCTTAGGAACTCCCGATGAAGCTGGCGAACTGGGAGATTGAATGGGGAGAGGTATAATTTCTATGAGTTTATTAACCCTTGAGTTTATTAACCCTATGTTTTCAAATAGCTCTCGGATAAACAAACATGAAAATTACTGCTGAAACGTCTGGTTGCTTGATGTTTGCACATCTTGGGGGTTAATGAGAGGTGGATCTGAAGTCTCGTGGCAGCTCCTGTAAACCTCCTACGACTGTGTGGATAGGTGGTCAGAGGGGGTGCTCACATCCCTGCATTTGTTCATCGTGTTCATTGTTTTACTTTGTTCATCATTCATTAACTGTATTTGTGGAAGGCACTTACAAACACAAGGATGAACAATCCATTGTCCTGTTCGTGGAGAATTTCACAGTCTGTCCAGAAATAACTGACTGCAGCAAGGTGTGCTTAGGTTATGCTGGAAAAAGAGATAATTTCTACCAAGGACATGGGCCAAAGGGGCGAGGAAGGTCCCACAGAGGAGGAATCATTTGAGTTGCTCTTTGAAGAATTCAGGATTACTGCCAGGCAGGGAAGGTGAGGAAGGGAATTCCCTACAGAGGGAACAGCCTGAGCAAAGACAACGAGGCAGGAGCAGGCTTGGCATTTGGGGGAGTGACAAGTAGTCCGAATGGCTGGGGTTGAGGTTTTGGGGAAATAGGTATAGTTTTTAAGCAACTGAGCGATGTGATCCCTGTGTTTTTGAAAGATAATTCTTGTAACAAAGTGGAATAAGAAATGGAGCAAGGTTCCCAAACACAGGTACATGGATAAATACCAAGTGGCAAAGTTTCCCCAGCTGCAGGAAGTATGGTGGGCATTTTTTTCCATATAGCTAAATGTATTCAATTTAAAAAATGATCCTTTGCTCTAAAATAGTGGTCCAAAGCCTGGTTGCCCATTAGATCCTCAGCAAGTTTTTCAAAAAATTATAGAATCTAGGGTTGAATCCACAGATATTCTAATTTAATTGGTTTGGGAGTGGCATTTTTTTAAAAGGTTCTCCAACCAATCCTTGTTTTCAGCGTTGTCAAGACCTACCATCCTATGATAGTGGAAAAATACTCATTTTATAAAATGATAGTGAGACCCGGATGGTGTCTGTTTTTGTCAGGGGAATTAACTGGGCAAAGTAAGAAATCGGCAATCCTATATCGGGCCCTGAAATTTACTTTGAAATTTCTTAGGCCTATGAAATCCAAAGGTCTGCAGAAGCAACTATGTCAGAGGCTAGAAAATCACTAGGACACTGGAGTTCTTAACCCTTCATGGATTAAGATTGGAGATGAGTTCATATTCCAGGTGCCTACAATATAGAAACCTGGATTTTCATTTCTAAATGGACAAATAAATGAGGCAAAAAAGCTTTTAAATTTTTAGAAAATGGGATTCTAAGCTTGGAGCCAAACCTTTTCCATGATTTTTAAAATCATGGAAACTTTAGTTCTCAGTGGGACCTTAAAAGCATGTCTAAATTAATGAGTTTCAAACTTAGTAACAGAACCAGTTAAAAATGTCTTACAGGGAGTCCCATACGTCAATTAGATAAACCCAGAGCTGCTGTGGTTGGAGAAGGGGAAGGGCCTACAGACTAGGTTTCTGGGCAGTAGGATGAAATGGTTTATAGCCAGGAAGTCCACCCATGTGGTCCTTGGATGCATTTCAGAGATTCCGTGAAAAAACCCTGGAAAGGTATGCAAATTGCATTTACAGTGCCAAAGGTCTACAAACTTTTATCAGATTTTTCCAGAGGGCAATGACCCCAAACAGTTGAAGACAACCCCTCACTTTTTTTTTTTTTTTTTTTGAGACAGAGTCTCCCTCTCTCGCCAGGGTTAGAGTGTACTGGCATCATCATAGCTCACAGATAACATAGCTCACATCATAACCTCAAACTCTTGGGCTCAAGCCATTCTCCTGCCTCAGCCTCCCGAGCAGCTGGGACTACAGGTGCACACCACCATGCCTGGATAATTTTTATGTTTTTTTGTAGAGACAGGATCTCTCTTGGTCAGGCTGGTCTCAAACTCTTGGCCTCAAGCGATCTTCCCACCTTGGCCTCCTAGAGTGAGCCACCATGCAGGCCAACTCCTTACTCTTGATTTGGTTATTCCATTGTGCTTCTTAAAAACTGCAATGCTTCTCTAAGTATTACCCATCTTAGAATCACCTGGGGGCAATTGTTATAACGGGTTCCCCAAACTCCTCCAGACTCTGGAACATAAATCCATTGCTGAAATCAATGCTGCTTCCACTGAGTGCAGGAACCACAACTTTGGGCATTAACATTAGAAGGAGAGTTAGGCTGATTATTTGTGGATATCCTTTGAACTGCTATTTCCTGTTTTTCTTCATCATAAGGTTCCTAGATTCATCCTCTAACCAATAATAGGATGTGACTGGTCCCTGTGACACAATGACACCAGTTATACTAATTAATTACCTTCACTTTATGGCCTTAAATTACTCATTAGTTTTATTTTAACATCACAGAAGCCAAATGCACATTATTACATTACGTGCATATAACATTACATTTGTTATATATGTACAGTGCATAGTTAAGTATTAGCCTTATAAATTTAGCTTGAGAAATGTAAGTTTTTGAAATTCTACAGTAAACTCTAAAAGGTCAAATAAAATTCTGCAGCATTTCTGCAGTGGAATAATATGTTTGCAGCAAAATATTTGGGAGCAAAATGTCACCTGAGCTAACATGAAGGTATTTATAATTGTATCTCAATTAGTGAGGGTAGTCATATATTTTGATGCAAAAAAAGTATTAATGTGTTTGATAATGGGGGTGTTTCAGGGCCCAATGAGAGTGTTACATGATATACAGCACATGCACTGTATTAACTTTGTAAAATCCCCAAACTTCTGAATTCCAAGGCACATTTGGCCTCAAACTGCTTTGGATAAGGGGTTTTGGGCCTGTAGCATAACCTTCTCTTTCTTGCTGCCTCTAGCACTAAAATGTCAGGCCCAGGCAATGTTTCAAGTGAAGTCCAGATTGCAGGAAAATTCTTCAGGGTCGTATCAATACTATTATTAGCTACCGCTCAGTCTAAACTACAAAAGCACTTACAGATACGTATTTGAATAAAAAACATGAAAACCGATCAGCCCCTTCATTCAGAGATTGAAGATTTTAAACACCTTTCACCTCTCTGACTCCCCAAGGGTAAATATAACCACTGTCCTCTGAGGATGGTCCTAAGAAGATACATTACAGGGGATTTGTCTTTTCTGATGTATCCTGTAGTCTGTTGCGGTTGACAGAATTTGAGCTGGGTGCTGGCAGAGTCAAATACATGGCATTTCAGTCCGTAGCAGAAGGGATTAAATCTAATGACTCAGTGTCACGGAGTTTTCATTAATTCTTGAAATGCATGGAGCTCCCGCAAGAAAAAGTAGAGCAAAATGCTCAATATCCCTAAATAAGCTCAAAATACTCAGGACACAGATGGCCAAGAGATAAAATGTGCTGTTTTTGCACTAGTAAAATTGAAGAAAATATCAGAGCAATTACTCTTGAGCTCCTCTAACACATAATCTTTTTTTAAAATGTGACTTACAAAATTGAAACTTATGGTTTAAATAAAAGTCCTATTTTGTCTACATGGCAGGGTCTGGGCAAGGGTAGTTTACTGTTAGTATCCGTTTGACCCAAGAAATATTTTATTCTGAGTTTAACATGGTAAGCAGACCATAAGAAGCAAACCATAAGTATATTTGAAATCCTCCTTCTAGGTTCTGAAATGATTATTTCATTGTGTTCCTTAAAGCATTTTAATGCAATGTTTCATAAAGTGTGGTTCGCTTCACAATCACCTGGGGACAATGACAAAAAACTCAGTTTCCTGGACCCTCCACAGCCCTAATGAACCCAAATTTCTGTAAGTGGGGCCTAGGAATCTGAAATTTTTTTTTAACAAACTTTGCTGGTCAAACTAAAACTTGAGCTTCTTAAGCCTATTAATTTCATTTTATTCCCCAAAAGGGTAGAACATAGTATTATAGAACATAGTATTATTTCTACTTTTATTCAGAAATATAAAAGTCGTATACATTTGTTGGGCTTCACAGTGTGAATATAGCTCTTTTACTTTGGATACTGTTTAGGGGATTGTGTGAGTTGTTCTTCTACAGTTCAGCAGAGATAGATTCTGTACTTCTCTAGCAGAAGTAGATTAATACAACCAAGAATACTACCAAAAGAAGAAACAACTTAGCCAGCTTAATGGTAATAGTTAATACATACAGTGTTTACCATACACCAGGCACTACTTTAAACACTTGACATAGAACTTATTTAATCCTCCTAACAACCTTATGAGGTAGATGGAAATATAATGTTAGTTTTATAGAAGAGGTAACCAAGGTCCAGAGAAGCTAAGTAATTTCCCTAAGGTCACATAGCCTAGTAGCTGTATCAGAAGTGGATCCGGGCAGTCTGGATCCAGAAACTAGATGTTACATCTCAAAGCTGTACTGTCTCTCAATCTATTTATGTGCATTGTTAGTTTTCATTCTTTATCTCTGAGTTCAATGAAATATACTTTTTTTTAACAAACATAAAAAACAATCATTCATCTTGTATAATATTTGCTAGAAAGTCCTCTAGTTTCTCTTGAGAGACTCAACTTTTTAAAAAGTGTTTTACAGAGTAATCTGAGCAACCTCACTGCCACATTTTATCTTGCCTTCTCTTTTTTTTTGTTCATTCTACGTAGAGACTTTCAAAAATTACCAATGCCGACTATATTTCAAGTCATCATGGCGGGGTATTGGGAAAAGTTTTCAATTAGCAATAATCACGCCTCGGATAAACCTCATTGGCTACGATACTGCCACCGCGCAAAGCTCATCTTGTCTCCTCAACTCAGCTCAAATCCCCTTCATCTCTCTGTCCAAGGGCTACCCTCTAAAACAAAGCCATGGAAACATTAGAATGGCCTCTCTCACCTTTCTCTTTCCCAGATCATTTAGCTCTTCTAAAATCCTCCCTTCCATTGTATCATTCCAGCCAATCAGAGAAGACCTGCCTGTCTCCCTGGCTCAGTGCAGCTTTGAGGTTGGAATCCCTTCATTCACTCCATCAGCACGTGCCAGGCAGGCACCCATCGTTCTGGCACTGGAGATGCATCAGTGAATGGGTGTGAAGTTACCAGTGGACAAATAACAACAATAATAAAAAACACAGGAAACAGACAGTGTTATCAAGAAAATAAAACAGAACAATAAAGAAGTTATAAAGAGAATTAACAGTGACCATGGGGCTACTTGAGATTAGGCAACTAGACAAACAGACTGAGGTTAGGGAGAGCAGGTCACAGGCAGAAGGATCAGCTAGTGCAAAGGTCTAAGAGGGGGAGGACAAGCTTAACACAATCAAGGGGACAAAAAGGAAGCAGTAGTGGTTGGTACCTTGTGCCACCCAGATCTTTTCCTCAGGTGAGTCCCTCTTGTAGCTGCCAGAAGTGTTGGGTGCTGATAGCTCCAGAAAGTGTCCTAGGCCAAGGGGAGCTCCCTTGCCCAAGGCTAGCCGCCTCCTGGGGGGAGGGCTGAGAGCTGGCATTCAGTGCTAGGTCTACTGGTGGGGGAAGGACACAAAGATCCAACCACCTTGCTTCAATCAAGGCGGCTCTGAAAGGGCTTGTCCAACTTCAGAACTCCTGGAAGGATCAACTGAGGCCTCTGCTACAACTGCATCGCAGTTTAATTCCTCCCTCAGCCCAGTCCTGCTTCTCTCACTCCCTTACAGGAATTATTACTTTCCTTCCCCCCTCCCCCCCCCCAGAGACAGGGTCTCACTCTGTCAACAGGCTGGAGTGCAGTGGCCCAATCGTAGCTCACTGCAACCTTGAACATCTGGGTTCAAGTGATCTTCCTGCCTCAGCCTCCTGAGTAGCTGGGGCTACAGGTACGCGCCACCATGCCCAGCTAATTTTTAAAATTTTTTTGTAGAGACGGGGTCTCACTATGGCTTGTCTCAAACTGCTGGCCTCAAGCAATCCTCCTGCCTTGGCCTCCTAAAGTGCTGGGATTATAGGCGTGAGCCACCATGACTGGCTGGGATTGTTTCTTAAAAGCACTTCCTAATAAAACTTCTGCACACAAATCTCCACTTCAGAATTTGTCTCCTGGGAGGCCTGACCTGCAACAGTTGGAGTCAGGACCAGTTCTAGGAAACAACTCTGACAGTGTCATTTTGAAGCTGGATTCCCTCTAGCCAGCCAATAACAAGCACCCACACATCACTTGTGGTAGCAGGAGCCCTGCTAGCTCCTCGAATGCTCTAGGGGTGCAACTGTTAAAAGCATTCCCCTCTGGTGAGCCGAGCCGGGGAGCGGGCCGCCCTTGGAAGGGAATGCACTAGCAGGTGCAGTATCTCAGATGTCTGAGAGGTTCAGGGGAAGTAACAAATACAAGGACTATGGAATCAGATGGCTATTGTGGGATACCATCAATGCACTGGAGAAAGACAATGCAAGGCTAAGGGTGAATTGTCCCTAACTTAAGGCAAAGTATGAAAGTCTGAGGGTCTCCTGGGTGGCACATAAAGAGATTCGTCCCCTGCAGCTAGAGAGCAGAAAGAGCTGAAGATTTGGCCCAGGACTGAGTTATATAGGAGCAGAGCTCTCAACCAGGCAAGCCTGCTATGCCACAGTCAGGGCCTTGACTAGGAAGAACTGGGACCCTGAGGCTGGGGGTGAAGACCTAAGGGTGGATTCACCCAAGAACCTTGAACATCCAGATCCCCCTGAACTCTCTGGGCCTGCAGAAATGGCACATTCCTCCCTTTTCAGAGATTAATGCTTCCCTCCTGCTTGGGGACCCTGCCTTGCCTTGGAAGGTAGCATTTATCCCCTCAGGCTCTACCCCACTTACCCTCCCGGTGATAAAAGATTCCTAGTCAAAAAAATAGAGTGAGAATAAGGTATGCGGGTTCAGATGCAGAATAGGTAGATAATTGGATTTAAATAGGGCTGGGCTAGAATACTATGAATTTAACTAGTTGGTAAATATACAGTTGAAGGCGAGCTTATCTGCAAGACAGTCTTTACGATGTGGTGCCATGGAACCTATAGTGGGTGAGGAGCAAAGGCCAGACACATGGGGGAGAATGGATAATAAACACTAATCTGACCTGGACAAAGGACTGAGGGTCTTGATGAGGTTGAGGGGTGGGAGTACTATAGAGAGTGTGCAGAAAAGATAGGAGGCCGTCAGAGAGTGGGGAGCTCTGGTGATGGCAAAGTCTAGGAGCGGGTTGCTGACATGAAGGTGGAGGAAGAGTTCCCTGGAGGTGAGGAGGAGATCAAGGCACTCCCAGGCAAGGTGCTGGGGTTGGATGGATCATGTGCATGGAGATCAAAGTCACCTAGACTGGTGAGAGAGGGAGGAGCAGAGACGAAGGCAGTGAGCTACGTTCCAGGCTCATCTGGAGTGAGGGGCAGGGACTAGGAGGTAGATAGCTGACAGCAACAAAGAGGGGCACCGTGCTTATCCAACGTGTGAATCTACACTCATGTACCTAGCCCAGTGCCCAGCAGGCAACAACGCGGATTTGGAAAATGGTGCATGAACTTACCTGTTTGATGATATACTCCTAGACTTGGGTCAACATAGTGCCTTTTATGAGAACGTAGAATACAGCTCTGCACCAACCTGCTTCTGGGTGCTCCACAGCGGCTTCTGGGGTCCAGGGGCCTGCCTTTACATAGCCCCTCTTCTCCAGCGCGAAGACAAACCCTCCATCTCCAATCACAACCTCTCCGGCATTTAAACGTTCTAGGATGCCCTAATATTACAGATAATGGGGGAAAAGGAGTTACTTGAGTTTTAAAGATAATTTTTCATTTTTATTACTTTTGCTAACATATTGTTGAGAGGTATGATTACTTCACAATTTTCTGAAAAATCCAAGTGTATACATTTTTTAAATACATAAATTTATGGCTACCTATAAGGCAAACAACCACAATGCTCATATCAATATAATGAAAACTTGTGTATGTGTGTTGGGGGTGGGGGGAGAGGTGTCTTTCAAAACACATTAAAGAGTGTTTGAAGAATACTGTGGGAGCATGTTATGTTTGAAAAAGATTCTACCACAAAGGTGGCCAAACCACTTAAAGACTTCTATCTTTGATGTTAAAATTCAGTTTCCACATGGGTAACCATGTTGCAAAGTCCAGGAGGTTATGAGCATGCACATTCTGCACTCTATGACAAGAACAGGAAAGAGACCAGTAAATAAAGTATTTGTAAATGAATTTCCAGCCCAATCTCCACACCTATTCCATTGACAGTACTATGCAATAATCATCCTGCTATTAATGTTCAACAGATAATTTTGGAATATCTTTAAAGGCTTTTGTGAACTAGAAAGTAATTTCCTAGTACAGACATTTTCTTGTAATTTCAAAGAATCATAGACTTTAAAGATAAAAGGCACCCTACATTCAATTTAGGTCTCTGTCTCTGATTTTAACAAATGAGGAATTAAAGCTCAGAGTCTCTGAGTAATTTACACAACATCTCCTAGATGGGGACCACAGGGCGTCCTGGCTCTTTCATTCTTAAATGATATCTAGATTGGATTTTAAATGGGCGTAGGGAGTGGGACAGTCCTGAAAAAACTGTGTAAAGGAATAACTTGGGATGTACTTACCTATTGTGTTCCATTTACCAGCAATAACGTGCGTAAAACAAATGCTGATATAATAAGCATTACATAAATCTGTGAGAGGCATTCATACGTAGCATTTTACATCCTAATTCCTTGCCACCTTCTTAGAGCCTCCCTCATTTTAATCCTCTTTGCCTCCGCTGCCCCCTCCCCATGCCATTTGGACAGCCAGTGCTCAGAGAGAGGAAATTGACATTTCTGCCTTAAAGCAGTGGGAGGGGTATGCCGTATGCTCCCTAATACCCCTTGCAGATCAAAAAATTTTCAAGCCTGAAAGTCCATAAGATAACAAGCAACTACAAAAATATAGAATGGCTCACATATAATTTTGAAATCCAGCATTTTCATGATTACAATGTATCTAAATGCTATATCTTAAAACTACAACTTTGCTTATTATGACCCAATTGACAACAACATGTATATGTGTATACGTATGTCTCTGTGTGTGTGTGTGTGTGTGTGTGTGTGTGTGTGTACCACTGCCAGTGCAGTTATATCAAAAACATGAGAAAGGGTCACATACATGAGATATGCCTTGCTACTAACTTTCATTTGGGTGAAATCATTCATGACATTTTGGCAGTTGGCAGCTCTCACTGAACTTGTGTGTTTTCAGACTTTAGTATGACAACATTTTAAAACTTGGTACAGCTAAACAGCTGATATTTGGTGGTGGGGTGGGTGGTGGTGATTTGATTACCATACTGTTCATAAATGTTCTGAGTAATTTCATCTGGAAATACTATCTCTTAGATTCTACTGCATGTTTTAGTTACCTGGACTTCAGGATTTTCTGACCCGAAACTAAGCAGGTTCTGTTAAAAGTAGAATGTGCTACAAAAAAGATACTGTTTTGCAAAAGTATTAAAAAACAGTATAGATTTTAAATTAAAAGGTACATATTTGCCTAGACAACAAGCTAGCAGAATATACATTAAAATTTAGCAGGTACTGTTCTTTCTGCTTTCCCTAGTTGTTTATAATGAACATGTGTTAGCTTGTAACATATATTTTAGTTTTAAACTCAAATGTGTAGACAAGTTATTGTCCACGTTTTAACACTGATATATGCATGGAAACAAGGTACTGAGGAAACTTTTTTTTTCATCTTATGACCATCTGTTGCTTAGATAATCCTCTAAAGATAATTCTTTAAAATGTTAAATTTTCTAAGTATGAGTTTGGGGAATGGGTTAGAATCCATGGCTATGTGAATACCACCATCCCCCCCCACACACACACAAATTAAATCTCTCTGTAGGAATCATCCTTTCCCGTCTACACGGACTATTCATTTAGCGCATTCACGGATTGGTAGAAATTCTCAACCTACTTTAACTGGCGACAGCCTATAATCGCTTGTCATCTCAATACTTCACGCCATCAACACGTATCCATTAATGCTGCATGGCATTTAAAACATTTAACCTTTTCCCTTGTGTGGAGGTCTTTTGGAGGGGGGTTTCCCCGCAGGGCGGGCACTGGGGATGAGAGGTGGGCCCGCCCTTGCGGTCCTTACGGCGGGGGATACAGTGGGCCTGGCCCTGTCCGCCGCCTACCACTTCCTAGGGGCCTCTGTCGCGCCAGGCCTGGAGCTGGGCGTGTTGGTCCCAAAGGGTCAGGTATATTCCCTCGTCCCTCCATCCTTCTCTCTTCCCACGCCTCCGACCACACTCCCCCGCAGTCAGTGCCTGCATCCGCCCATTTCCCAAACTAGAGGAAGGCCGACCGGCTGGACCGAAGACAGTCGTCTCAACAAGCCACTGGGGAGGCGAAGAGATGGGCTTGTTAATCAGGAGCTGGAACTGCTGGGTTTGGGGGTTTTAAAAGCTTATCAACAGCCCTTCCTCAGTATCTGACAGCCACTCTGCCCATTTTTTTCTTAAATCGTGTTTCTGAGGCTCGCACGGTGCATTTTTCCGGTGATCACGGAAACAAATTGCAGGTGAAAACCTACCATCGCCCAAGCAACGCCTGAGCCTTGGGTGCAGCTGGCGGGCGCCGCGAGAACCTGGCGGGGAGTGGCCCCGAGACGCGGCGGCGCGGGCGGGAAACGGTCGGAGCCGGAGCCACACGCTCCTCCCCACCCGGCCCGCGCGGGGCGCAGACAGGGCTCGCGGCGCCAGCCTGTGCCACCGCCCTGGGGCGGGAACGCGCCTGTGGGGCTAGCAGCAGCATCTCAGGGGGAGTTTTCCGGTCTTGGAGGGCCGTACGCAGAAGGTGTTGGGAGTCTCAGAGCTCTGGGGACGCCCTCGCGTCGGGTGGCTCAGAGGGTGCCTTTGGGTGGGAGGCGAGGATCACACAGGTGGCTCTAGGGTGCACTCTGCTCCAAAGCGGGGCCGGCAGTGGAGGGGCGAGAGAGGCGCGCTAGACGTGGGGCAGGAGCGGGGAGGCTCAGAGCCGCGCTGGGGTCCTGCAGGAGAAGTTCTGGAAGCACATCTCAGTCGGAGGAGGGCTAGGAGGGGTCCACAGCGGGGCTCCGGGGCCCCTCTGCGCTCGCCTAGGCTGCGGTACAGAGCTGGCGGGCCGGGACCGAGAGTGCCCTCGGGTCCGCTGGCGACTCACCTTCTTGGCCTTTTTGCCCCCAACGGGTGCCATCTTCGTGGTGTCCAAAAGGTAGCGGGCACGGATGCAACCGACGAGGCGAGCCTTCCGCCTGCGAAGCCCGGAGCTGCCCGGCGCTGGCTGTGGACCGCTTTATACCCGCTGCTCTGCGCGGGGAGGGTCTCCGAGCCTCGGCGCCGTCCAACGCGGGCCTCGGGCGGGGAACACGCCCACCAGCCTTTGTTCAGGCCAGCAGCTTGTTGGGAACCTGCCCTGCCAAGATGATCGAGATTGTTTTCCCAAAAGGGTGGAAACACCAAGAAGTAAAATAAGAGAAGAAAAAAAAAGAGGTTGCCATTCAGGTTTCAAACCTACCTGCGCGCCGTCCCTTTTTGCCCCTGAAGGGTCTCCGACCCTGATCAGCCCGCCAGAGAGGCCCTTAGCAATTCCGTTCAGTGCCCAAATATTTGTCAAAGGTCAAGGATTGAAGATTATGGAATGAGGAGGCAATGTCCTGGAAGAAACTTCAGCCGGAAGTGTGATCTGCGTAATACACATCCAGTATAACTGGGCACAAATAAGGCATTTTTCTCTCTTTCTTTTTCTCTTTCTTTTTTCTTTTTTTTTTTTTTGCAGAACCTGGACACCTGCAAAAACAAGGCGTTTATAAAAGAGCCTATACTAATCCTGAATAATGTTCAAAATGACCTACCCTTACCTCCAAGCATGCCTTGCAGTTTCTGATAATGCACTAGTTTCTAATAAGAATATCTTTGTAATATTTAACCAAGACAGGTTTTTAACGTTTGTATGTGCAATTAGAAATGTACTTGGAACACTTCAAAATTCAGCATGAAAGCTATGTATAAAAGCATATAGGCATTAGAAGAACTAGAAGGAAATACAGATGTTAACGGCAGTTATCTATTGATGGTGAAATTAGGGCTTTTTTAAAAAAATTTTTTTAAATTTCAGCATATTATGGGGGTACAAATGTTTAGGTTATGTATAACGGTTTTTTTTTCTTATTCTTCATGTTTTACTGTTTTTGCCAAAATAGTTGTACAATGAGAACATATTGATTTTGAAATAATGAAAACATTTCGTTAAAAAATGTACAGCATGATATTAAATAGAATATAGAACAACTAAATAGTCTGAAACAGAGTTCAGAACCTTTTACCCAAATAAAAGCACATGGGAAAATTCTGAATGTGATCAACGACCTCCATTTCAACATATGCAGAGAAGGAAATTACTGTAGCAAATGATAAATTAATACAAATTTAATTGCCAAAACGATGTGCGCTTGAGATACAACTGAGAAAGTAGAAAACTCCTTCCTTTCGCTTCCGAAAAGTATGTCGAGTTTAAAATGGAAAAAATTGAAAAGACGAAAGGATACACTGTAACTCAAATATTCTTTCACTTTCCACCCCCAACCCCCAACTGCTAGCCGGGGTCAGCAAGAATGAGGCATGAGATACTGTCATCCTTCACAGTACCTAGATTTTTTACCATGACGGCTTTGGAGTATTAATATTAACCTGGTGAGTACCGGTGAGATGAACAGGTCCAGAGCAGCGCCACTGTGTCTGCCCGGAGCAGCTGCACTGGCGGGTAACAGGCACCAGGGGGCGGCATCAGGGCTGTGACAGTCAGTAAAGGCTGAAAGCAGACATTATTGTACAGTTGTGTCAAAATTTGGCAAAACTTGGGAGAAATTTTCAAGTAGTAGCGTTAAATTGAAAAATGAATTATGAGTTTTAATAGGTAACATAAACATGACAAACATTTTTAAAAGTCTTTCCCCAGCTGCCGTTCCAGTTCAAGTCCCCTCCCTGCAGGTAACCACTATTACCTGTTAACTACTATCCTTTCAGAGGAACTCTGTGCATATCTAAGAATATATATGTATATGAAAGGATTTATACTTGAATGTAGGGAATTTTCATTTTTTAAACTCTTACCCATCCCCATCTTTTCCAAAATAATTTATAGGCAACTGTGGAAATAGTTCTGTTTTTCCTCAGCCTCTCAGGTTGTTGTCCTAACTCTCCCACACCCTCGCCCCAAAGTAGGTCCATTAAAAAAAATCCTTCACCTACCATTTCCATAATAGATAACAATATCCACAGTTCACCAAGTGCTTACTATGTGCCAGGCACTAATCGAGCCTTTTACATACACAATATTTACTCCTCACAACTCTGGGAGGTAGGTACTCCTCTTTGTTCTCAACAACCACGAAGTCAGGGAGTTACAGTGAGCTCTGATGTTCCTTTGTATTAACTTGATTACTCTGTAAAAAAAAAAAAAAAATGAAGTTCCCTTACCCCGTTCCCAAAAAACTAAAAGTCTGCTTGGATACTTCCTCACTGAGGAAGTGAGTTCTGTAATAAGTGGATATATTATCTATTATGAAATGGTAGGTGAATAAAGTTTTTTTAAATGGACCTACTTTGGGGTGGAAGGGTTGGGAGAGTTAGGACAAAAAACTGAGAGGCTGAGGAAAAACAAAAATATTTCAAGAGCTGCCCATAAATCATTTTGGAAAAGATGGGGGTGGATAAGTGTTCTTGGAAGCCTGCCCATGGTCTCTGATCTCTGCTAGAGCAATGAGATGAGAGAGGTCATAAGACTGAAGTCGTTGGCCTTGTACAAAGATGCTGGGGTTTGAAAATAAATCCTAAAGGGGAAGAGGGGCATTAGAGTTGGAGATCTACCCCCTCAGTTTTATAATCTTAAAAAAAGAAGTTATTGTTCTGTCTCCAGGTAGTACTTTGCTCTATTATAACCCTATTTATTCATTCAACAAACATTTATGAAGTAGCATTTTTGTTTAAGAGATAGGGCTTCACTCTGTCACCGAGGCTGGTGTGCAGTCATGTCACCATAGCTCACTGCAGCCTCGAGTTCTTGAGCTGAAATGATCCCCCCACCTCAGCCTACTGAGTAGCTAGGACTACAGGTGTGACCCACCATGCCTGGCTAACTTAAAAAATATATTTTTTGCAGAGACTGGGGTCTTGCTATGTTACCCAGGCTGGTCTCGAACTCTCGGCCTCACTCGATCCTCCCACCCGAGCCTCCCAGAGAGTTGGGATTACAGGAGTGAGCCATTGAGCTTGACCTTAAGTACCATTAATACAATATTTCAAACACTATGCTTGGTGCTGGAGGGGAAGGATATCTCCCTACCCTCTTTTTTCTCCTAAGGAGAAAGATAGACACATGAGTGCTAAAATATCTCTTTTATCAATATGTAGGTGGGAAAATGTTAAGACTTTTCATTTTCTATTCCATTGGGATCTCCTTTACAATGAAGCTGACTTTTCATAGGCCTTTTTAGACTAAAAGTGTTTCATTTTAGCCTTAAATCATTGAGGACGTCTCATGTTTAACACTATGTTAATTAGGTTTTATGTTTTAACACCATGTTTAACGATGTTTTACGTTTTAACACTGTACAGAACAGTGTTTGCAAACTGGTGACACGGAGACAGAGCCAACCTCTGTGTTTCCTTTGGCAAGCCCGGTGTTTTTAAGAGTCTCACGCTCTACCGACTGAGCTAGCCAGGCGTTTTGGGCCAGTGTTTTTTAAAAATTGGATGCAAATTGCCTTATGTAGAGCATCCATCCTTCCTGTTTGCTAGTCTGTACCACATCCAGGTGCCCTACACTGTTCTGGTTCATAGATTCACCTTACCTTCAAGGCATTTGGGTTTTCAACCTCTGCTATAAACAGAAGGTATATTTGGGGTTATCAAATACATGTTCCCCCAGTTAGCCCCCAAACTGTAGGTTTCACTTGCCTTATATTTTCCTGCTGCCACTAACCTCAGTTATTTTTCATTACCACTACCTGGGATCATAATAAAATGATGAGTGGAGTGGATTTTCCTTCTAAAACTCTTCCCTCCAAGTGCACAGGTTTTCCTTGGTTTATCTGTGCTGAGCATTCCATTCCTTCTGTCTGCTGCCCTGAATGGCCACACGCAAGCATTTGTCTCAACACGCCAGGTATATCAAACCACATCACACAATTACTCCCCATTAAAGGGTCTTGGTTTCTTCATATGTAAAATTAGAAGTTGAAGGTAGGTGACTTTTCAGCTTTGTTTTTGCAATTGGCTTGGCATAAATTTAGAGCACAAAACAGCCTTTCCAAGAGTGCTTTCTTTGCCGTCCCCTTGCGGTCAGCTAACCCTTCCTTGGTCTGGCTCTGACAGTGCCCCTGGCTCCCGCTGATGCCTCCAACTTCTGCCCAGGGTTGAGCCTTTGCTTCCGATGCCCTCATTCTTAGAGAAACAGCAGAGCTTTTTTTTGCTGGGCTGCTCAGGGCTTCCTTCCACTACAGGTAAAAACGCTTCGCTCAGGGCTCACAGACTGGCTGGCTTGGCTAGTGTCTCTTGGCTTTCCACAGAGAAGTCCTCCAGCCAATGTTCCTGCTAATTCTGGACATCTCCTAGTGTGGCAATTGTTTCCTGAGTTCCCTTTCTAGCTCTGAAATCCCCTCTCTTCTGCCTTTCCTTTAATGCTTTCTAACAGGATAATTAGCCTGTCGCATGCCCTTCTGCTGCTTTTCTTTAAAAAAGCAGATAACTATAACTTTATGAACGCTTATTATGTGGAGTTGGCTGTGCTGCATGCTTTGTAAGCATTATGCAATCTTTACAATAACCCCACAAGGCAGCGACTTTGCAACCCGATTTCACTGATGACAATGCTGAGCTGTGCAGAGGTCAGGTGACAACTTTCCCAAGATCACATCAATAGTACGCACAGAGCCGAGGGGGTACTTCAGCCCAGGACGGATAAAGCCAGAGATCACACTCTTTAGAGCTATTCTTTACTTTCTTTTCAGTAAATTATTTTTCTAAAACACTTGCCAAACTCTTTATAACTTTGCCCAACTCATGGCCATTCCCACTCACCTGGTCCAACACAGAAGTCCCTTCTCCTGGTCAGGAGAAATTCAGATTTCAGAATACAATCAGCTACCAACAGAAAACAATCTGCCCTATCCAGGCTGCCACCCACCGAATACACCGTGACTTTTGGATTGTGTGTAATCCCTGAGTTGTTTGGTCATTCTGAAACTCTGTTGTTGTTTTAGATGGGCATTGGAAGAGGAAAGCACCAAGTTCTTG